TAGATCATTGGATGAGTTAATGCTGAAGTGTTGCACTGTCTGGTTTTAGCAAGTTATAAAATGGCGGTAAAAAATCATGACTGTAGTACCACGGGTAGGTCTTATACATAAAGCCTTTAGTGGCACTGATATTGCAATACGAAATACTACCCTTTTAGTTGCCATTTACTAATTTATAAGCATGTGTTAAATGGAATAATGCAGTGAACCTAGTCATTTGATTACATTTATGTACCATTAAAAATACTTGATGAGTTTACAGTCATCAAGGCAGAGCTCCTGCCACTTCCCTTTCAAAAGAGTTAACGGTCATCAATCATGACTCAAAGAATGAGATAGTATGTGCAACTTGGAATTAGAGAAATAGTTTTCTAGTGGATTATTACCTTCTTCGAGAAGAATAGTTGAAAAAAAGCAGAAAAGAACAAGGAACTGGAAATTCATCCATGCCTATACCTCATACCTTGTAATTCATAAAAAAAACTTGTAATTGAGAGGGCTGCAAAATGGATTTCATTAAGGCCAGAAAGGTTGTATGGGAATTGGGAAGTTAAGAACTGACCGTTTCTAACTTATTGTATTTCCGTTTAGCATGCATGTTCACTAAAGATGGTGGTGGTGAGGGTGGTAAACAAATGGATCATCGCCCCTCTTCCCCTTGTGCAGGCGGGAGGATGGAGGAGGGTGGCATACAGTTCAGGAGCGCTTGTTGCCGCCTTGCTGGCACATGAGGAGGCCTTCACAGGGAAAAAGAAGTGATATGTCTTTCCTCTCAAACGTCAGACGAGTCCTCACTAATCATGGCATGAGGGGGGGAAGGATCTTTTTCCTCGAATATGCAGGAGAGTTGCGTATAATTGCATTAAGAACTAGAAGTAAAACACACCACACACAGTTAAAGTTTAGGTACATATACATAAAAAACACAACCAGACCTGAACACTATCAAACCATCTATCTGGTGGCCACCTCCCAATGTGCTAACCCCTTAGCGCCAAGGCATCGTAGATGAGCCTCATCAAGGATAATTCTAATCACATGCTGAATATTGGGATTGGCTCCATTGAACACAATTGTTATCAAGACCATCTATCTGGTGGCCACCTCCCAATGTACTAACCCCTTAGCACCAAGGCATCATAGATGAGCCTCATCAAGGATAATTCTAATCACATGCTGAATATTGGGATTGGCTACATTGAACACAGTTGTTATGATGTTTCCACAACATCGAAGCACCCAAAGTAATCAGCTAATTCAAACCTCGATTGACTTCCCGGGGAGCAAAGCAATAATCCTCATCCACCAATCAAAGAAACCCTGGGAGGGAATGTGATTGTAAAGATTGCTTAAGATGGAAATTTACATTTTTTCTGTTCCTTCATTGTAAGAGTCACCTCTTGCTGGATTTGATTGACGAACTGAGGTTTTATTGTGAATCATGACATATGCTTTATGCTTTTAAAGTAAAAAATAATCGTGTTTTAAAGGTTAATTTTACCATACTATGTATTTGCTTTCTGTCATCCAGATTTCAACTCAACAGTAATTTGGTAAACTTTTTAGTCATTGTTAATAACTTGTTTTAAAAATTTTACGAGCTGCTTGCCATTGTGTTGCTCTCGATGCACAAGGCCAGTGTTATACATGGGGTCGGAATGAGGTATAAATCAGAATATTTGGTTTATTGCTTAACACTATAAGTTTCTAGCAGAAGGGACAGTTAGGTCAAGGGACACTCTTCTGCGTAATCTGCCAATTGTTGTTAATGGTCTATTTGGGTAAGATAATTGGCTACAACAGCAAATTCTTTACTTTGCTTGTTAATAATTGTTTATAGTATTTCTAAACTCATAAGCTGATTAATACCAGTGGTTTAAAGATGTTAACTATAATCTTTATGTCTTCCAAGATGCTAGCTTACACTTGTCAAGCCCGCAGACAAAATGTCGAGAAAGCAAGTGCTGGAAGACACCATTATGTGGTTGTAACTACTCACAGGAAGTCTCTCTTTTGGCGATAATAAGCACAGACAGTCGGGGACGACCTCGGTACCATGCACCTCTTATTGTCTGTGAGCACACATGTCTGTGACTGACTATGTAAGTAATCCAGCATTGCCAGAACGCTCCATTTTTTATTATGAAATATTTGTTAGTTATAAGCTTAATTAATCATATATATCTTTGTAAAAGTGTGAACATCTAAGTATTTAGTCAAACTTCTTTTTCCTGTTCTGTTTGATAAGTGACTTGTATTTTAATGGACCGTCTCATGTAAACTCAAGTTATATTGGAATACATGTCGTTGTGAATGACATTTTGCAATATCCTTTTACCCCCAATGACTAACCATTACCGGTACACATTCTAGGCCTGTTTGTGGAACAATTCATAAACTAAATGTAGAAAGCAACATGGAGAACACCTCACACCCATTAGGGAGGGGTGACTTTCGTATATATAGCCACAAGGCTGTCAGTACATTTACAAATAGATCCTTAGATATATACATATCTAACACCCCCCGCAGTCGTAGCAGGAGGATCACGGACGCATAGACTGGACCGAAAATTAGTAAATAGCTATACAAACAAGCCCTTAGTCATGATATTTGCGAACTAATGCGATGACGGCATATGGAGAACACGAACTTCACCAAGGGCGACCTTCTCACGGACGAAGTGGATGTCGATCTCGATGTGCTTGTCCGGCAGTGATGATGACCGGGGTTTGTTGTCATGTATACAACACTACGTTGTCACAGAAAACAACCGTGGCAGAGGGTAGCGGTAGATGGAGCTCCTGGAGAAGCTGGCGCAACCAGCAGCACTCGGCGACGCGTGGGTGACGGCACGGTACTATGCTTCAACACTGGAGCGAGAGACAATGTTTTGACGCTTGGACGACCAAGACACCAAGTTGTCGCCGAAGTAGACGCAGTAGCCCAATGTGGAGCGACCGGAGTTGGGGCACCCTGCCCAGTCCACATTTGAGTATGCCGTGACGTAGCGAAGAATGCGCTTGACGAGGGCAAGGTGCGGCTCTCGAGGGTCGTGCATGAAGAGGCACACCCGCTGGACCGCATAGGCCAGGTCGAGGCTGGTGAGAGTAAGGTACTGTAGCGCCTGGCGAGGCTACGGTACTCGGATGGGTCGACGACTGGGGCACCATCTGTAGCTGAGAGCTTGGACTTGGAGTCCACAGGCGTCGCGGAGGGATGGCACTCGGACATGCCAACACGCTGGAGAAGCTCAACAGCATACAACTAGCGTTGCGAGAGGAACAACCCGTCGGAGGAGCGCATGACGGAGATGCCGAGGAAGCGGTGGAGCGCCCCGAGGAGAGTCATCACAAATTTCGAGCTGAGGGGTGCAGTGATGCGACGCAGGAGGTCTGGAGAGGAGGCCATCAGGATAATGTCATCGACGTAGTAGAGCAGCAAGTAGGCGGCGCTGTCTCGATCTTTATAAATAAAGAGAGACACATCACTAACGGAGGGCGTGAAGGCGAGCTGACGAATATACGTGGCAAACTGCTGGTGCCACGCGCGGGAAGCCTCAAGAATCCACAGCTCAGTTAGCCTGAGTCGGACCATTTGTCTGAGATCCCTAGGTTGCAGTTGTGACCTCGACACGATTATTTGAATCTACCCGTGGACCGTGGCTAGCCGACGTCTCTGTCACCGCCATCAGTACCCTGAAGAAATGGCTGCAGATACGACTGGTAATTCCAAAGCATGTGTTGCCCGGTCTAACACTGCATCGGCAGCCTTTTTTTTTTACTAAAACCCCTACGTTGTTATCGACCGGAACATAATGGATTAAGAGGCTATCGATCCAGGCAACACTGGTCATCGGTGCATGGCCTTTGTTGTTTTGTGATCGTGCGCAGACGCCAGCCGGAAATGGGGCCCTACACCGTCTTCAACAAAACATAAAGAAGAAACTGGAATGCCGGCAGTTCAGGAGTGGCGTTCTCCAACTTGAAGCAAAAAATGGTTTTTTCAATACGTGCTTAAGCAAAAATGGTGTTGCTGGACACTGCCTTCGATGCCTCCAAGACCGTATAGCAATCATCAGCCGACCAAAGTTTAGTCCGTTGTTAGATAATAGACTAAACGTGGACTAATTAAAATTTCTCTTTTTCTAATGAGTTCTACTAATCAATTAGCCTCTATTAGTTTTGCTAGATCATGATTAGTTAATGTTTAGGCCTTCTATTTGGTATCCAAAACATACACTATTTTAGTCCATCCAAACAGGCTCGAAATGAAACAGGGCGAAACAGTGTCCCAACTCAAATGAAGTCAACTGGCAATGACTAGCAGCCTGTTCGTTTCGGTTGAAACGATCGTGGATTATAAGCCGGAAATCTGGTGAGAAAAATGATGTTGTATAAGCGATAGTAGGCTAACTGATGTTTAGTAGTACTGTAGGTTGATCAATTGCGATATCGAGCTGTATTCATTGCCAGTTTCAGTTTTAACCACAAGATTTGCATGATCATGACCCACAGCGCTGCTAGTTTTTGTTGATGATTGAACAGTACAAGTAGGTAAGGAGCGCAGCAGCAGCAGCCGCAGCGTTGCTGCAGCTAGCTCTTCCGAGTAGCTATGCCACCGTCAAATACTGAATCTAACAAGTCGACTGAGATATCACTCTTTCAGGCATAAAGAAAGCTGGAACTGGCACAAAGGCCACAAGCTCCACATTGGTGCACAAAACAAGCAGCGGCAGCGGCTGCCGCTGTGCAGCAAAGACAGCCGATCAGGCTCACAGATTCACAACTAACAAGAAGCTGGGGCAAAAACGTGCACCGGTGTTAAGAAGCGTCATTTTTCAAAACAGTCAGATATGCACAGATGAAACGTCTAGCCATCCCATTTAGCAGTGAACAGTGCACGACATTTCCATCACACAAAATCATATGCTGCCAGAAATAATTTTCTTCACACGATTGTGACCAAGACCAACCTTGCAAGCCTGCACATGACGCCCTTTAATCTTCTGAGTGGCATGTCCAATACACCAGCCCACTGCAAGGATGACAGGAAGTCAGAACACAAACTGGACAACTGTACGACGGAGTGAGTGAAATATTAAAGTAGATGGGCCCTGTTCGCTTCGCTAAAAAGCCATGGCTGAAAGTACTGTTCACTGATTTGTTGTGAGAGAAAAACACTGTTCCTTCGCTGAAACAGTACGGCTCATAAGACAAGCGAACAGGGCCGAAAAATGCAGACATACCTTATCAACACAAGGACACATTGCAGAACACCAGCAACACCAGTCCAGACAGAAGGGCCCTTGTTCGTCAGCGCGTCTTGCACCAATAAACCCACAGATCCAGCTAGGCAGACAAAAGAAACGACATATGCCACAAAAAGCCAGAGCTTCACTCTGCAATATAAAGAGACCAAGGTTAGAATATTCTATGCAGGTATCACAAAAAATCCTTCTTACACCTTAAATTCCATTTGAGCACATTCCAGCACCCAGAAATTGGTCTAGTCTTGTTATAGAACCAATGAGGCAGTTTTCAGGTATGCAAAAGATATGTCCATTTGGGATTACAAGGACAACACCATGACTTACTGAACCTGATGAAAAGTGACGCATCACATAGCACAATGCTGTTGAGGCTCTTCAATTAGAAAGCACGAATTTAGTTAAGGAAACTTTGGCTAGGTGGCACATGTACTTGACACTGAATGTAAGGATGACTGGAACACAAGTCTATATACTACTCATGTTGAAGATCCACTTTGAAAAAAATTCCAATGCCTTCTTTCAAATTTTTGAAGCAGATTGACTTAGAGGCATGGCCTGTGTGACGCCTTACAATATTATCTCATCGTGTAGGATATATGCTAAAGCAGTCCAGCCACTCTTTTGTTTACCAACATATGGTTTTCTTCTAACAACTTTCCTTGATTTTGACATTTTGAAAAAAAAAGTGCAAATGATTTATTTTGCAAGCTTTATGTTGCTGCAGGTGTCTTTAAAATCTAGATCCATACAACCTATCTGACCAGGATCTCAATCAGTGTAGTTGTTCAAAAAAGAAAAAAAGAAGAAAAGCTTTCCTGGAAATAGTTCTATATCAACTGTTAGAAAAAAATTCTAAATCTAATACTAATAGGGTAATAGATTAGTCTAAGATCTGGACCTTTAAGTTCAAGATAATTAAAAGGGCATACCTAGTGCAGAGAGCTCCCGCTCTGTGCGGGGTCTGGGGAAGGGTGTCAGTGGCAAGCCTTACCCTCGCCTGTGCAATGCGAGGAGACCGCGACTCGAACCCGGGACCTTCAGGTCACAGGCGGTAAGACTCTACCGCTTGCACCAGGCCCGCCCTTCAAGTTCAAGATAATTAGTAAGAAAAAATATTATCAAACAACAAATGGTCAACTATTGTCGGGTAGGGGGGAGGGGGGTTGGAAATGGCATAACAAGGATACATGATACATTGATGTAGAGAATCATGTGCATAACCAAAATCAAACACAACTGTGTCAAGATTTCATGGAGTATACAGATTTCATGGAGTAGGAACAATGTCCTCCAGTATGTCATCCTGATTTAAAAAGCTAATGTTTCCAAATTACAACTCAAGTCAAAAAGTCTATTTGACCTATTGTATATTGGTTCTGCAGCATCAAGATCAATGACAAGACAGTATTTGAAAAACAAATGTATGTAATCCCATTGTGCAAACTCAACAGCAAAACAAATGGGGTGAAAAAACATGAAAACAGTGTCCTGGGTAGGACAACCCTACTAACAAGGAGTAACACTTGGTCATTGCTATACCTAAATACAGAAGTTATATTTGACAGAAAGAGATGTTATATCTTGATTGCATTACCTCAATAAACATATACGAGGATAAAGACATTATGATCCATGATCATGGATAATTTGTAACAGTGGAAACTACCCTACTCCCGAAAGATATGAAATTCACAAATTTGTATGATTACCAAAAGAGAAGTCCAACTAGTTGTCTAAGTAGTTCCATAAGTCCCCTAGGAAAAAAAAATCTTATGATTTCCCATATGGTAATCCAACTAGATCCCACAAACAACTGCCTCCTCCTTGCCATGTCCATAGCAGAGTTACCAGAGTGGGACGCCAGTTGTTTGAAACATAGTTAGTAAGTAATCCCTCATAAAGCTGGGAAACTCCCTACAAGACCAAATCCCTCATAAAGCTGGGAGACTCCCTACAAGACCACACCTTTACAAAAAAAAAAAAAAACATTTTCACCTCATAACCACAATGCTACATTCGGGGCCGTTTGGGAGAGCTCCCAGCTCTAGATTCTCCGTGAGAATCACTCCTAGACAGCCAAACGAATAAAACAAACTATATTCTGCCATTCTGGTGGGATGACAAGAATCGCTTCTCCATTTAAACTGTGAGCTGGGAGCTGAAAGAACCTGCTCCCCATCGCTCCCCTTCAATCCCACAAGAATCACTCCAAAATCACATCCCACTGCTCTCCACCAGAATCACACCATCAGATAATCAGGGAGCTGGAGCTAAGAATCAAGAGTGAAGCTCACCAAACAGGCCCTTATTAGTTTCCTAATTACAACAATTCTAAGTCCAGTGCCTGCTTATGAAGATGGAGATTGACCCAAATCAAAAGTCTGACATCATTGTAAAATGGTTTATTTACATCACATGCAAATTGACGTGATTCCTGAAACAGTGCTTATTTTTAATCGTACAGATAATATCAAGCAAACCAGGCTCGACTGAATCATAAGGATTTCAAAACCCTAAATTCATCCACCAATTCCATCAAACTTTAAAAAAAGAATCAAGCAGTAACCTCACCTCCACTCGGAATCGTCCCCGTAGGGCGAGTAATAGTCGTATCCGATCTCATCCTTGTTCACGCAATTGAACATGAGCGCCGCCAGCGAAGCGAAGATCCCTGCAAAACCCGCACGCCCAACGAAATCACACCGATCAATCGGACCCCAAAACTCGCACGAGAAAAAAAAAAAGATGGGGGCTACTCCCGAATCTTAGGGCTCCTGCTCTCACCTGGAAGGTAGTGGAGGAAGGAGACCTGGACGGCGCTGCAAACGACCGCGTCCACCCAGAACCACCACCCAGCCCCGAAGATGGCGCCGGACACGCCCGGGCCGATGATCCCCCAAAGCAGAGCAAGGTTCTCCATGGTCGCGACCTCTCCTCACCAACTCCTCCCCCAAGCAATCTCCTCGTCGGGTCGTTCCGCCCTTCTCCCTTCTTCGCCGAATTGTTTTTTCCCAAGCGGAAAACTGGAGCCTGGAGGTGGGTGGAGTAACATAACACTGGGCCAAACAATTTCCGTCCAATAAAGAAAGCCCAACTCTGGATTTCTTTGGGCCTATTGCGCTACGCATGTTTATGGAACTAGCGAATCGCGTTGAGATGGACGGGGTGGCGCTTGCAACCTGCTGGGGCTGTTGGTGGTGGTGCGGAAGGAAGAGACGATGGCGAGGGGGCGCGTGGGCCGCGGCGGCGGCGGTGTGGTGGATGGCGGCGGGGGCCGGGGCGGTGTGGCTGGAGATTGCGCCGTCAGGGACTAAGTGTGTGTCGGAGGAGATCCAATCCAACGTTGTCGTCATCGGCGACTACTCCGTCCTCTACGATCACCACCACGCCCACCCTACCATCGCCGTCAAGGTAACCAATCGTTTGGACCTACAGATGCAAATAGACTAAAACGGCATTGCCACGTAATTAGTTTAACGGAGAGAAATGAACTAAAATAGTTGACACCGTAATTAATTAATTAGCCGACCTAGAAAACACCATTGGGTTTGGGTATCCAATTGCGTCCACCAGATCGGGATTCATCCAAGCAGTACAGCGTGGGAGGTGTTAGGCAAAAAAAAAATGTTATATACATTGTAAATTTTGTGGATTGGTTGGGACTCCTATATTTTCTATGCTTTTGAGTACACTGGAAATGGAATGGAAGTGCATTATGTGTAGTAGCTGTTACTACGGAAGGGAAGTGCATTATGTGCAGTAGCTGTTATTTCTTTGATGTTATGGATTTATGGTAGATATTAGTTACTATTACCTAACAATCGATGGCAATTATCAACTTGAGCACATTGGACATGTGATTAGCCATTGGGATAAATCATACGTGTCTCCTTTCATTGTGGTCACGCTCACGCAGTCTGCGGGCGTACTCAGAAAACACCATTAGAAAACTATTCTGCTAGCTCAAATGCATGATAAAAATCAAAAACAATTTTCTTCTTCATAGAAGATACATAAATCTCATTATTGTTTGAGAAAGAAAATCATTGTGTGATTTGATTCCTGTTGCGGCTCCCCATTATCCTAAGGTTCAGTCAAATTGATCCTGAATAAGGCAAGTTGTTGATTCCTTTTGTCCTAGGCCTTCTCCATTTTTTCTACACTATTGTTTGTGGTACATCAAATGGATCACGGCTACATTGTTAGTTCTTCAATAATGAAACTGGAAGATGCTGTCCAAAACCTTGCTTACCTTGCATGGGCCATGCATAAACTCACCCTTGAATTAGAGGGAACTACAAATAGGCAACATTTTGTTGGATAGAGTTGTGATTATGAATCAGGAGAAATGGAATCCACCTCCATACTGTCATATTTATCTGCAAATTAGTTTGCAATTTGCATTCACGATATTACATCTTGTGAATAAGGTGTATAACTTGCAACAATTTTATCCACAAAAACTTTTAACTTATTTGCACATGGTAGCAGTAGTGGATAAATATATTGCCATTTTCACTTCATTGAGAACATACTACTATACTAGTAACTTTGCTGTGAGAGGAACTGGACATTGACTGGAAGTTGTCGGATTGAAGAGAGTTATATCTTTGACCTTTTATGTTCCGCTAACATGCTTACATTTCTTTCCGGAATCATCATTTCAGGTTACATCCCCTTTTGGAGACGTTGTTCATAAGAAAGAAAAGGTTTCAATGGAGCAATTTGCATTTACCACAGCAGAAGCAGGGAACTACCTTGCCTGCTTCTCGATTGATGGTGAGGACAGAGGGTTAGTGGTGAAACTAAATCTTGATTGGAAAATTGGGATAGCTACTAGAGACTGGGATTCTGTTGCTAAAAAGGAAAAGATCGAGGTGAAGTATATGAAAATGAGGTGTTATACTGCCAGTTGTTGTTTTGTTTTATTCCCCTTCCATGTGACATCAAGTTTTATATTCAGGGAGTTGAACTGGAGTTACTCAAGCTTGAAGTTGCTGTCCAATCAATCCATGACAACCTGCTTCTTCTAAAATCCAAGTATGTGCATCCACTTATTTTCCTAGCTTCATGTTTTGGTTGTTCATGTACCTGGCTGATACCCAGGGTATAATAACAATCTATCTAACAAAAATGTTCTCGGTGCAGAGAAGCTAACATGAGGGATGCCAGTGAAAAGACGAATTCTAGGGTCACGTGGTTGAGCATGCTCTCTCTTAGTGTTTGCATAGCAGTCTCTGTTTTACAGTTGTGGCATCTACAACAGTACTTCCGAAAGAAGAAGCTCATCTAACTGATGTCCGTAATATAGTCCTCTGCAATAAGCCTATCTTTATGTTTTGTGTTTTTGCAGACGAGATCTGATAGTTTGGCCGTCGAGTCTAGCAATTGTAAATAAACTGGTATAACAACCTGAAATCCCAAGTCAGATGACATGAGACTGCTGTTTTCCTTGTTCAACTTACTTTTGCAGCATGGGAAACTGTTTTTTTTTTTCCATGTACAGCTCAGGGATACCTCTACTACAAACATCCAACCTCATGGTGCCACTGACCCTCTTGCCACAGCCACAAGAAAATCTCTGTAATCACTCTCAGGCAAGTTTTCTTGGATGTAGTCTGCAAGGTTCCTTCCATAACTACTCTTGAACGCTGATCTGATCTCATCTATACCGACATCATCACTGCCCAAGATAGCTCTTGTTACCATCCTTTTATCAGTTGCTGCAGATAGCATACTTCTCTGCAGTAACTGGAAATATCAAGAGCAGAAGAATGAATTAGAACAGGTACAAAACAGTCTGCTTTTTTATACTGATCCAAGGGTTTCTTGGATTTTATTACCTTGGAGTAATACTTGGAAGGGTTGTAGATGCACTTGACAACAACTCTCAGAGATTCTTCAAATTCACCAGACCCATTTGTCTTCAGTGCCTGCACACATACACATTGTTGCAAGGTAGTCATAACAGAGTCGTTGAGCAGGGCTGCACGAGGTGGATGGCACTAAGTAGCTGACGAGTACACTTGCCTTGGTGTAGTCATGCCCATATATGTGCTTGTAGCTGCACAAGGCCAGCCTGAGCTGTGGGATGCTCCTCTTGCTGAACATCTCAAGGATCACAGCCTCGTCGACGACGGAGCCGGCACCACTGTTCTTCGTGTCGTGCAGCCTCCTTGCGTCGCATTTAGCTACGTGCTGGCTGAGGTCGTCGTGGTGCGACCTGCGGGAGGCTGCGAGAGCCAGTAGCAGCTGTTGAAGCAAACAACAATGACGGTAGTGAGTTTAAGTTCAGGTGGTTTAACACCATGGCAACAGAGCAGAGAAGAGAAGAGAAGTGAAGAACGATGGGCACATGCCCTCTGGTAAGGGTGAGACGGCTCGGTGACCATGTCCTGGTCCAGGTTCCTCCTGAACCTGGCCGTGTATGCCTGCTTGGTGAAGAAGAGCTGGTCCTGCTTCCGGCGCGTGAACACCTCGACGAGGGCGCGGTAGCCGGCCACGGTGACGCCGCCCTCGACCGCCTCCCTCGCCACGACCGCGTCCCGTTCCGCCGGCTCCAGCGCCCACAGGTAGAGCAGCTTGCAGAGCTGCAGGGAGGAAACCGCTCGTACGTGGTGAGCTGAGACTGAGAGCTCGGTCGCCGTCACTGCGGCTGAGACGACTCCTGTGCCTCTGCGATGATTTTACCTCGTCCTCCTGGTTGTGGGTGCCGTGCAGCGTCCCGGCGAGATCCTCGCCGAACATCGCACGGTACGCCGCCCTGATCTGCTGCCTCTCAGCGGGGCTCCGCGGAGCCAGGAGGAGGCCCAGGCGCCGCGGCGTGCCGCACGCGCCCCGGATCTCCCTGCACGCCTCCTCGGACCCCGCAGAGGCCATGGTCGGCGACTCGCCGTCTGAATGAAGTGTTCGGTGTAGAGAACTCTCTGTTGGACTGGCCCTGGCCCGTCCAGAACCAGCACGCGCGGCCGTATAAATACCAGGCATCGTTGCTCGCGGCTGACCGGCGGTTTCCTTTCTCTTGGAGGTGGGAAGGGAAAGGTATCTTCTTCTCGAATGGAAACGGGCGGACACAAATCCCGGGTCGCACTCGGTGTAGGCGCAGAGTGAGGGCAAGGAGCAGGATTTCAGTTTCAGAGATGCTGATCTCGGGATCAGCCTTCTCAGCTTCTCGTAATCTTCTTTCTTTGAACGCAAATGGATCACGTACGATATCGTACGATGTTTAAATACCATCCTTATGGGACGAACGATCAGGATAAAACATCGCGTGATTCCTTTTGTTTTGCAATGAAAATATGAAATGTACTAGGCCTTGTTTAATCACCTGATTTTGACTCCTTTTATAGTCACTAAATTGCAGGTGTGGGTCATTCTCATTCACATTCACAGGCTCGTACGTCAGTGGTTGCCAGGCGAAAAGATCAGGAGTACTCCTATAGTCCTATACTATACGACCCAAATAATATACTAGTCCGAGTAACAAACGTGCCTTTGCGCTGCGAAGGCAGCAGCCCACTGAACTGTAAAAGGGGATCCATAAAGCTGGCCCTTTCCGTGGCGAATTCACACTACTTTTGCGGCTGGTGGTGGTATGTGCGTGGCGCCCGTTCGTGGATTCCCCGTAGACGCCGAGTCAAGTCCGCCTCCGCCCCTCTCTGGTCGGTGGCTTTGCCTTCCGTTCCGTCGCTGGCCAGGTGTTGTTCCCTTTCTGAACCGAGATGGATCGCCCGGCCAGAAAGAACTCGGTGGCCTTTCTTTCCTCGCTGAGCGCCGAGCCTTTTTCAGTTCTGGACTATGTGCGCGTTGGTGGATTTGGTGTGTGTTCAGTTCTTTTCGTTGGTGGTAGCACGGTGCAGCTGGGAATGTGCGGATGGCACGGATGCTTGCTTGGTGCGCTGCCCCATCCGCAACGGTTTC